AACTTTTGCCACATTAATTTCAGCCGCAAAAAAATGCGTCTCGTTGACGGAGTCTGTCAATGTTGGTTCCTGCTGCTGTTGTTGCTGCTGAGCATGTTGCTCGCTGCTGCATGTTGCTTCCGCAACAAAGGCAAATAAAGTGAGCTGCTGATGTTTCTGCTGCTGCCACAGAATGAAGACAAATGGCAGCCTGCTGAAAGCTGTGTAAAGTGTGTGCCGAGTGTAATTAGACAAACATTTGGTCAGGCCAAGAGCGAGGCCAATTGCTAATTGCCTCAATCAACAAAAGTTTTCATATTTACGCCAGCGACAAAGTTGACAAAAAGTGTTTTTTAATACTCAAGCAGGGAGAGAAAATCTGGTACGTAATCTTTTTCGAAAAAGTCAATTTTTATCAAGGAGGTCAAAGAGGTTTGAATTTCTTACTTAAAATTAAAGCAGACAGGACTGTTAAAATAAAAATAATTAATTTATATTGATTAAAAATAATCTTGAAATAAGTTTGCAAAGTAAATAGTACCCTTTTCTTCTTATGTTTCCATACAAAATAAGAGATTTTTCTGAGTGCAGTGAAAATTGCACACTTGTCTGCTTCCGTGTTCCTGCTACTGATAATTTTTGTCGCATTCTGCGTTAATGACAACCGACAAGCGACGAAGCGCGGCTGTTTCTAATTGTTTTAGCACTCCCCGTTGGCTGGAAAAGCGGGGAAATTAGAAGGAAATTGGGGAGCAGCAGCCATTGTTAATGGATATTTGGCTCGAATGCGGCTGGGCAAGTTCAATTTTTCGGTAAAGTGTTAGTTACACCAGGCAGCGACAAATTTGAAAGATTCCTCTATGCCAAAGCTGACAAATCATTTGTTGTGGGCTGGGAAATTCTGTGAGCGGAGGGGCTGGCAGTTGAGGTCCAGAGACTGCGGTTTTAGCCACCGGAGACCAGCCGCGTTTGACAAATGTGTAGACCAAACATGGGGCAGAGGAATTAAGAGAAAGTAGCTGTGGAAAGCGGAAAAATTATTGGGGGGAAATGGTGGTGAAAATGCCCCCAGATGAGGAAGCACTGAAAATTCCCCGGTCTACTCTCGGCTGGGCAATTTAATTGCTGCTGCTGATGGAGACGTTGATGAGCTTGTTGCTAGTGTGCTAATGCTGTTTATGTTGCTGCTGTTCCTGCAACTGTTGCTGCGGTGTCCATTGCTAATGCCATTGGTTAGAGTGCTGCCTGTTGTACTCGAAAGTGTTGCTTGTGTGATTGTTAATGTGGCACACAAACATAGTTAGAGTGATTTCCAGTATTAAATGAATTAAATTTTTTGAAATGCTTTTAGTTCTCGATTCTTGGTTTCTTCATCACTATCATCTAGAATTTCCTTGTTTTCATCTATTCTGACTTTTCTGTGCAATATAAAAACTAATTTCAAGTTTCATATTTTAAAACTTTTATTATTTGCAATGTTTACCATATTGGTCATGCATACAACAGTCATAAAATATGTCAGATATTTGCTCAATATTTATGTCCATCATAGCTTTCTCATATATAACTAACCAGGGACAGATACTTATACAATACACTAGGTCACATTTGCAGTATGGTTATTCACTCAACATCAGGCAGCTTGAAGTGCCCTCAAATCGTAGTCACGTTGCCAACATTGCGATAATTGCGTCTAATAACTTTTGATGGCTGTAATTAATCCCCAGTGGCCACCTGCCTCTGTCCTCCCCCGCTCACGATTCATCAATCCACCAAAGGATGTCAACGATGAAGAGGAGGAGGAGCAGCGCATCATCATCTCGGGCTATTCTGTCAGCCATGAAATTGACACGTCTTTGGTATTAAGTGGCACATTGAATAGTCCAAATTAATACCCGTGCTTCATGGTTGTTATCCGCGTTGTTCAACCATTTTGTAGGATGGCAGTCTTGGTCGATGGACTGAAAGAGCGGTACAGAGAGGTGACCTCTGATAGGATTATATCAAAAGGTTAATACAATGGATATCTGCTTTTTTTTCTAATCTTATTTATTTCTTAATCCCAGACAGGCAGCATTTGAAATCTAAAAATCTTTGAAGAACATCTCATTCTAACTATTCCCAAAGAACAAAAGATCTTCAAAGACTCTTGGGTAGTCTTCTCTCACCCTTTGTCTTGTAATTTCTGCACTTTCCAAAGCAATTAAATCGAGGGCACAACCCTCAGCAGGGGGCGTGGTACGAGTGCAGAAGGGGAGTGGGTGGCTGGATGGGTGTGTGGAGTCTTCAGCTGGGCGAAAGAAATGAACATAAAGTGAGCAAATGTGCCATAAATTAAAACTAAATGCCGGCCGAGGCTGTCAAAGGCAGAAAAACGTGAAGACGAGCGGCGACTGCAGTCGCAGTTAAGATTAACGCACACACACATCCGCCACGCCCACAGTTAGGCGTTGACACCCACACACGTACATAGATACACATACGTATACATAGAGACTCTCTCATAGATGTCAAGCATTGGTCGCAATGATTTACGGCTTCGCATAGGGGAAAATTGCGCATACGCCGCGTGGCCGCCACCAAGAATTTGTTTGCCCATTTTTTTCCGCTGTTGTTCGCTGCTGCTGCCTGCTCATAAATTGTTCGCAGGAAAAGTATTTCAATGCAAACGAGAGGTGACGTTTTGAAAAGGATTCGATCCTTTAAATACCCTTTAGAGATAAAGTTTACTTTAAAGTGAAACAAGATTGGCAGTTTCAGATGATTTCAAATCAAACAGCTTTAATATAATTCATGGGGCCTTTACTTTTAGTTATAATTAAAAGAGCATTAATAACAGAAGTATTTTTTTAAAAAAGTAACACCTAATAGACTGAACAAATTTAAAAAGTTATATTCCTATTAAGCGTGTTTTTACACTTAAGAAAAGGCCAGAATGTGAGGGTAAAAGATGAAGACACATTGTTGTTTAGAATTAAATTCAGCCTACGTGAAAAACTGAACTGCGTCGCTTTGGGTGGTCGCCTTCGTTTCTCTGTTGCCGTTTTTGGTGGCGACACTTGGCAGACATTTGGTCATTTGTTGGCACAGCTTGTTGCACGCTGAAAAGTGGAGAAAACTACGGAAAAACCAAGCAGACGTTTGAAAAAAGTTTGCGCCACATCATCTTGTTAGCATTTTGTCAGCCAAGTTGTCACATTCGCTTTAGCTAAAGATCTTCAATGTTTCGCCTGCAACAAGTTGACAACAGCAACTGCAATAAGGAGGGGTAAAGGCTGGAAAAGGGGGAAAATTGGAAAGAAGGGAAACTGGGAAGAGGTTGAGGTAGAGTACTAAGGAGACTTACGGTGCAATGGTTTTCCTTTGCACACTTTCACCCCTATCCCGCATGCACTTTACGCCTCACTTGACTTACATTCGGGGCAACGACAACCAGAGATGAAAACGCCTCCGCCTTGTATTCCCCCCTTTTACGACCACCCTTTTACTCCTTTCAAGACCACCCTCTCACTGTCGCGCAAAATCTTTAATTGTCGCGCAATTTTCCAGTTACTGCATTTGTCGCCTCGCCCGCACTTCCCATTTCTCACACTTGCCTTAAAATTGCCAAGGAATCCATGTATTCATTCATTTGTCCAACGATAAGCACAGTGGGATTGGTTGTACTAAAGGCAAAGAATTATTTTCTCAAGCCTTAACTTAGATAAATGTTTTATATCGCCAAGCGCTCATAAAATAGCCATAATATTTAAATATTTTTTATAGCCTTTAATCACTGTTGGCCTATTGGGAGAGTTTAATTTTATGTTCGATCCTAAGAATGTGGCAATCACCTGGCATTTATTCCAATTTTTATAGCAGACAGCTAAGAATTAAAGTGGAACCAAAAATTCCCGAGAAATTCTAAATAGCATATAAAATTCAGAAGCTTATTTTTTAATAATTCCGCATAAATTCCAGCGGTCCACTGTGCCCATTCAGTCATCCATTCACTCATTCATTCTCGATTCCCATTCGGGATTCTCATCTTTCTCAACTCGTTCTTCGCTTTCTGCTGGTTGCTTTCATTTGGGGCGCCACTTTCCGATGCAAGTGATATGCCTCCTGACCCGGAGCAACGTCTCCTTTGTGGCCACTCCCACTGCAACTACCAATTAGGTGGGCAGAAGGCGGTTGCAATTTCAATTAAGAGAATTAATTGCGTGTGCGGCAGTCAGTTTGAAGAGTCTCCAAGCGAAACCAAAAAAAAAACCTGTCGAGGAATGGGAATTCTTAGCTGGATGGTCTAGATAAGTGACACTTATCTAAATACATATTTACCTGGCTGCAGGGAAAAGTTAAGGAAAAACGACTACGAAAACTGTAGCTAGAGGAGGAGGGGTATAACTTTGTATGCAGCCCGCATATTGTCAAAAGCGGAAATTGCAGGAAGCTGCAGATTTTTATCGATGCAAGTTGACAGGCGCCAGTAGCAGTACTCGAAGGAAGTTTATCCGAGTACTATGTATACAATCCACCCATTCACCCACCCTACCACATAACCACCTGCACCACTAACATCTTAAAATAAGAAAAACCAGAAAAGCTTTCCTAACCATTGCTTCCGTTCATTTTCAAAAGCAATGACGAAACCGGAACAAAAAGAACTCCATAAGAATTCCAATTAGGGAAAGATCAAACGATCCAGAAATCGGAAAACTACCACCAGCATAAACATAAGCAAATTGTTGAGGGAAAAGTAAGTGGGGGTGGACTAAAGAAAAGCCATTAAATTTAGTCAATCGATAAACGAAGTCACAAGTTTTTCATCATCAATGGTGCAACCAAAAGCCAGCACGAAAAACAATTCCTAAAAAGCCTTGCACCATAAAAAATACATTTTACGATCCTCACGCAAACTATATAGCTAAAACGGGAGACAGAGATAGCATCGGGCAATGAAAGAGAAAAGGAGATATATATATATATATTAGGGGACCTGAGACAACGACACACTGCGAGTGTCAATGCTGATGTAAAGTGTCACTTAAAACGCGCTCAATATTTGATGGCCCGAAGACAAAATTGAGCCACCTCCGCAATGCAAATGAAAAAGAGATATGCCATGGTACACACCGTGACATGAGTTTAAAAGTCAGTTATCTGACTACGGCAAAGTTAAAAGAAAACCTAAATTCAAAGATTTTGGAGAAAATTTTTGCTAAAGGTAATAATTATTTGTTTGAAAAATATATAATAAAAAGAGTTTTTCTTGGTTTCAAAGAAGGAAGAGAAAATCGAAAGATTAATAATAATAATTAATAAGTTATTTTCTAACATTCAATGTGTTTCCAATCTAAATAAATTAACGAAATATATTTAAACTATTCCCTAAACAAGCCAAAATGATGCGAAACCGAAACGCACTGTTCACATACTTCACTTACAATATGGAACACCTCCCCCATACCATCGATTCCCTTCCCAGGGAAGCTAAGGAAAAAACCTCTAAACGATCTTCGAGCGAACAACGTGAACGCATTATAAAAATGTTTTACGATGCTGAACCCAAAACGGGAGAGTAGAAAAACAAAGCAACAGAATAAATGCTGAAAAGCGAGGCAGAGCGAGTTTTATTATGTCGTCGAACGTTGGCGAGATAAGGTCAGTTCTTGGGGGTGGGGGCGGGAAAGTAGGTATGCAGAGGGGCTGGGGCAGGAGGAGGGAATAAGGCCAAAGAGCAGGGGCCCAGTGGATTGACCGCTTTGCATGTCGCGCGCTGCATTAAGCGAAACCAAAAACAAAGCCGATGACAGCCGAAGGGAGAAGTATATGAAAGAATAGTACACGAAAAAAAAATCAAAAAAAAATTCAATTGAATATTACATGAATACAGAATTAAGTTATTAAAATATTATTTTAAGTGTGAATTTATAAGAGATTCTGAAATTTCTTCTAATTAATGTTATATTACAAACTTTACTTATAAGAGCATTTATTTTTTTCAGTACATTTCAAAAAAGGGAATGAGAACTCAGAAGAAAACCTTGGAGAACGGAGAAGAGAGAGCTGAGAACGGAGTAGCGACGTCTGGACATGAGCGCGAACATGAATCGCTGACGGCGGCAGCTTAATGGATATGGATATGTTGTATAGGGATGTGTTTTCCATGTGGATCTGCCGACTCCCAGCTAAAACTTAAATGATGAACCATTAGCTTAGATCTACCCTGTAAAGTAATCTTTTTAAATTCGCCAAATAAAGTTCAACAAAAGAGTATTGAAGTTCAATAAATAAAAGCGTGCATATTTGAATGTAAAACCCATAAATACATTTGGGATTTTTGGTTATGCAAAAATGACTTCATAAATATTGCAGAATGCAAATGGATGCAGCAATGGCAAAATATTGAAGCGAATATATATTTAAAAATGGCAGTTTATGTTGTCGCTGCAAACATTTCTCAGTTTAGGCAAATTAAATAACACATAAATAAAGTTTAAGATAAATAGCTATCTCCATTTATATTTTTATTTTTATAGTTACTTTACTTTACTTTTTACTTTACTTTTCAGATAGTTCAGTTCATTACATTTAGTTCTTGAGATAAAATAAATATGGACTTGACTTGATCTATTATAATCTCTTTTTTAAAGGGTATTTCAATAGTCCAACCTCCATTTTTGAATCCCTTTCAATTTCGTTAGTGTCTTTATATTTTTTGCCAGCTCCTTATATTTTTTCAATTTCATTATCAAGTTTAATGCTTGGACCATCGGTTTACTTAGCGTTTGGCTAGACGAAAATAAAAACATAGAGGCAAAGGTCTCCCGCCGACGTTGACCTTTTTGCAAGATATCGAACCCCAGTCCCCATATATTTTTCTCCCAACCCGTATGTGAAGCGCCTTTTAGAGCATTTTTCATGTTGTTGTTTCAGTTGTTTGTTGGGCAATTCAATTGAATGTTTGCGGCTGGACGACAACTGGCGACTCATCAATGCCACGTCATCATCATCCTTTTTTTTGCTGTGCCAGAGTCTCGGATAGGGGTGAAATTCACAAGGGGTTGCAGGGGTCGAAACGTCCACGATTTAACGATGGTTGAACATATGCAACAGCAACAACGCATCAACATCGCCAATGAGCAAGTAAAAATAACAATAAACAGCAGACAGCAACTTATACAGTGGCAAATTGAGTTGTTTGTTGTTTCTTTTGCAGTTTGGTTGTTTTTTTTTCTTGTTTGCATTTTCACATTAAGAACGCAACGCAGCTGCTGAAGAAGGTTAATTGTTGTTCTGGCCGCCGACGTTGTCATCGATATTGATTATGATATTTTTTAATGGAAGCCTGAAAGATGAAAGGCCCCAAGAGATGAAAGGAAAACTTCACCACGATTGAGACACACAATAAAGAAGCGATGTGTGTGTGAAAACATTTAATTACCGGGTTAATAAATTATAAAATATTGATAAATCAAGCAGACAAATTGTTTAAAAAATTCAATCAAGTTTCTGCTTATTGAAAGTGAAGACAAAGTTGTTACGTTAAGATTTTTGCATTTATATTGTACCTTTAAATAAGGTTTAATTTTACTGCAATATAAAATATTTAAATAAATATTTTTCACATTCAAAAATTTTATTTAAAATTTTAATAAATTTCCAACTACTTAATTACGTTAAATTACTTTGTAATAAACCACTTTAGTTTTATTATGTGTTATATTTTATTTACTTTTTCTCTGAATCGAGCACTTTTAAGCCACTCGGCCACTCATTCCAATGATGCCAACCGTAAGTGCACAACAATTCGCTGGCCAACAACTTTTAACAACAACTCACCCACAACTGGCGCACTCACACAAAGGCAGCGATAACAACGATAACATTTTAGCACATAAATTACAAATTCATGAAAAATTTTATGCTCGTGTTGTGCACTCGATTTATCCTTTTTTTTAACCTTTTTGTCCAGGTTTCCTTTTTGCATTGTTTTTGTTTTAGTTTTCTGTTTTTGGCGGTAAACGCAACGAATGTTGCTGCTGCCATTTATGTTGCTGTTGTGCCAGCAACATGCAACGTTTGCCTGGAGTCGGGGCAAAAGTTGGACAGATATCGCACATACGTATGCACCTGGATTGGGATTGGGAATGGGAATGGGATTGAGGTTCACCCAGAATTGTCCGCAAAAGGTGGCGGCAAAGGTGCAGTGCGGTCAATGCGTTATTTGCAATTCATTGCAGCCATGGGAATCCAAATGGGAAAAGGCAGGAAAGTGGGTGGCGAAACAGATGGAGCTGGTCAGACGACAGATCCACACATACTCACACAGAAACCCACCGTTCATGGTCCGCTTTCAACTTTATGGCTTAATTTTTGGTGCCGCCGTAGTTGCTGTTTGTGCCACACACATTTCGCAAGCAATTTAAATGCTAATCAATTTGCCGCGTTTCACGCTCCGCCAGCAACACGGCACCATGGCAATCTGCCCCACATGTGACCCACCAATCGCAACAAATCCAATCCAGCCACCCACCCATTGAAACGCAGCATTGCACACAATTCAAACAAACAAAGTCGCCAAGAATTATGAAAAGGCAGCAATTTCAGTACAGGGCCCAAAGGCAGAAGCCAAATGAAATAATAATCACAGGCTAGGGAAATAAATATAGACCAGGAATAGAGAGAAGCCAGAGGAATGCAATTTGCACTAGGAAAATTGTCGATATAAATATTTGAATATTTCTTTCCAAGTTCTATTAACTTTATATTTCATTTTAATACCTCTAAATTGCTTTTAATTTAAACTTAAATTAAATATATACATTTTTCAAACTAGTCATCGCATTCGTTTCGGTTTTTTCATAACTCATGGAGTGATGTTTACTTGTTCTAACCAGACCAAAAAGCACAGCTAGAAAATGCCCAGGGAAATAGAGCCGAATGGTCAGGGAAAAGTTATGAGCGATGTACAGGTTGCAGGCTGAAAAAATGCAACACGTAGCATTTGAATAAAATGTGTGAGGAAAATATAAGCGCGAGCACAGATCGGGGGATTTTTTTTGTGATAAGCGGAACGGGAGAGGAAGTTAGAGATAACAGCCAGGAAAAATAAAATATAGAACAAAGTTTGATTTATGGCTTCTGTTGGGAGATTTGTAGATGCAAACAGAAACTAAAATCGAAATCAGTCGCACATAAAAAAGCCTGATACAATATGGGAAAAATACAATTGTAAAAAATAAGTTCTAAAAGTGCTTTACTAGCTAGTAAATTTCTGCACATAAAATATTTTCCATCTAATCTGAAGTGAAAGACGCGAGGAATTTTATAACTTTTCCAATGATTTTTAAAAGCTACGTACACCTTCTTAACAACAACCCCAAAAAAAAGGTGGACTTTAATAACGATAATAAAAAAAGGCCAGCAGCAGATGGAGTGGCGTAATATGAAAAAATTCAGAACCAAGATGAAATTGCATTATGTCGATTTTGTGGATTTTTCTATGCTAAGAGAAATATGCTGGGGAAAAACGACGAAAAAATTAGATAGAAGGAGGAAGCTCGAATGGCTGCAAGTGGCTCAAAAAGTGCCTCAAGATGTGGCAACATTGGTCCAGGACAGCAGTTACTTTGCATCTTTTAAGCTCTTCTCCTCGGACGAGACACAAAGATGCAAAAAAACCATGCCAGTGGAAAAATAGAAGGTAAAGGGATAAAAAGTTTTCATTGGTTTCGGCTGCGGGCTGATGAAGCTGAAGCATCTTAAGGTATCCCCATCCTCATTCCCTTTTATCCAGGCTCATAAAAATCATTCATTTGCAAAAAGCCAAGGAACTGGAGTAAATTGATAAAAAAAAAATTAATGCAGAGTTAATACTTAGAATCTTATATATTTTCTGGTATTTCAAATCTAGATTAGCACTTAGATTTGATTTTTCATGTCATAAAATAGGTAAATATTGTTACAAGAAATCATTACAAAATCTCTATGAAAATAATTTTTCAAACATTTATTTTCGTAATTTTCAAAAGTTTATTTCTTCTAGTTTATGGCCTATTGATATGTTCACTAATAAAAATGCCATCAAAATGTCAAATAATTCTTTTGAAGTTGATGAATTGTGTCGAGAGATTATAGAATATTATTAGAGAACCTTTGACATGGTTTTAATCTTGGGGAAAACCCATAGTAATTATAAAATTGGGAACGCAATTTTATGGATTCTCTTATGTAAGAACATGGAATAAATATTGTTTTTGCCTTATAAAGCTAATCTTAAACGCCGTCATTTGCAAACTTTAAGTGAGAGGATGTCTGTCTTGAGCCACTTCTACTTGTTTTTGTGTTTAATTTGCCAACACCAGCCTTGATTTCGCCACCCTTTTCCGCAAACTCGAAAACCCAACCACCCAAAGACCACAAAAACCCCCTTTGGGTTTATCCGGCTTAAATTTGTGTTTATCTCGGCACACGACTCGATTAAATTTTAGAAAGGGTAGGAGTAGCCAAAGACGTCGACCGGGCGTGTTTTTAATTGCCAAGGACAATTAAAAACAATTTTGCAGGCACAAAAGAGTTGGCAATAAATTTAATTGGCCCGCTGCCGTTACGCCCATTGATTATTTTTGGTGTGGTGGGCGTGGCATCGGGGAGCACTTTCACACCTAGTGACAAGGTGTCTAGGGTAGCCCACAGCCCAAGAAATCGGGGTGGCGGATGGTATTTTCTGGTTGGTTTCTCCAGCTGGAATGGGGCGGCAATTTATGCGGCTGTCAGTTGCAGGGGCAGCTTGCTTGGATTTTTATTGGCAACCGGCACGCAGCCAGAACTCGTTCAGCTTCCTCTCAAGTAATTGCATCGAGCACATAAATCAATTGAATTGCATTTTCATGCGACAAGTTTGGCCAACCCTCGATTGTCTGCAAGTGAAGTGAAAGAAAAAAGTAGTTTTCCTTCGGGCCTGTCTCTCATCTTTTTAGCTGGCCCCTCGAGCGTGGCGTAATCAATTGAAATTGCATGCAATGCGTCACTGGCAGAGCTAAAAAGCCCCACAAAGCTCAATACCTCAAAAATCCAAATCGAAGTGGAAGTCAACCATCCCCTTGAAGAGTAAGGAGTATTTCGCCCCTCAAAAACTACGAAAAACACGTTGAAAGATTATAGACAACTTCGTTTATGGCTTATCAAATTAAATGATTAATGTCTCAGTTTGTTTTCTCTTTTCCATTCGAATTGGAAAATGTCATCAGTTTTAAGTTCGGTGTTTTCTGTATTTCATTTCCCAGCCCGAAGTTCGAATGGTTTTCGTCCTGTGGTTGTCGGTTTGGTTAAGTTTCTTTCAGCATTTTATTGAAAAAGTTTGTTTGTGGCGACCTTTATGTTTAGATGATTTGTGGTTGGGTAAATTGTTTTGAAGTATTTAGTGTCAATAAGAGATAAGGAATTAAAACTAACCCATGCTGTCGTTTATGGGAACTTCAGTTGAAGTGGTGTTTTGGATGTAGTTATTTACGAGAATGCAGTTGACAAACTAACCTGAACTCTCCCATTTATAATTAATTTAATAAATTGCAAAAAGTCTTTCTGATCAAAGGTTCGTAATTTCACTTACTCCAAGTTATCCTTTCAATTATCTTCATCCAATCATGATTTCATTTCCTTCAGAGCCACACACAAAATTCTCAAAATTCCATCAGCAGAAGTTTTCATCATCCACAAAGCTCATGATCCACGCACACACACACACACACACAAACAAGCACACACGCATCACATTAATCAGTCAGGACAGTGGGACAAACAGACAAATACGCACTCGAAAGTATAACTCATCAGGGCACAAATTACAAAGACAAACGATGACTGACAACCGCAAGGCTTTTTTGGCTCACGCATTGGAGGAGCAGCGGGAAGCTGGTCGGGGTCACCACTTAGCACCCACAATCCACAGGGCTGCAGCTGAAAACTGTGGAACAGTGGGACATTGTGACAGAGGGTGACAGAGGGGCAGGGGCATCAGCGTTTTTGTTAATTAAACAAATGCCGCAGTGACATGTGCACATCACGAGAGATGTGATGACTTTGCCGGGGTTTTGGTTTGGGCCGCTGCGGTTTATGCATCTGCATTCGTGATGGGCAGGGGCATGGGTGTACTCGTATATATGTGCACCATATAGGGTCGGAAAGTCGAATAGTCGGGTGGTTTGGATGGTTTTTGGGTGGCGCTGAATTCAGTACCCACTGACAATTCCGCTTGACAAAAGCGCACACAAATAACGGGGGAAAACAGGCGACATCGCTGGCAATGGCTCCGCATGCAATTTAATTTATTTCAATTGCAACGGAATTATTACGACAGACGACAAAGTGCCGTCGCAGAGCAATTTACCGAGCATCCCTGGGCGCCGCCTTCTCCTTTATCTCCTTCCCTTAGCTATCCCCAAAAACCCAGCTTCTTTATCGCTTTTTTAGGGAATTGTTAATAAACAAATTCATGTGCGAAGAAAGTAAGCGCAGCCAGCGTCGATTTCAATTAAACAGACGCGTGGCTCCCATTGGCGCGTTCAAGCTGATAATGACCACAGAGGCAGATGAAGGGGTGTTATTATGGAGAGTCTCGCTGTACTCAGCAGCAAAAAAAACCTCCACTACTCAGCGGTCAGGAAGTTGAGGAACTTTATTCCATATGGCACGGACAATGGGACAACACAAAAAGAAGGTCTAATAAAACATCTATTCTATTCTGACCTGATGAGTACAAACTTTTATTTTCTGAATTACGTTTTATTAAATTTATCTTAATTTTCACAATTACGCTGGCAGTTTCATGCGAAATTCGAACTGCAAAAACCATTTATGAAATATAAGAAAACCCATTAAAAATTGCGATAATAATTAATGTTTTAATGGTTACTCATAATTTAACCATACGCCTGTTAGCTTCATTTATTATCGGAAAACTTCAGTGTGCTAAAGCCAATTTCAAATTCCCCGTTCAAGACACCCAATTCCAGGCTGCAATTTTTGCAATTCCAACCCATCGTGGGTGGTTTGGGGCATTCAATTTCGCCACTGTTGATTTCGTTGTTGTTGCGGCAACAAAACACTTTTATTTTTGCTGTTGTTATTGCAACTGCTACTGCTGTTGCTGTTGTTGTTGTTATTGTTTGGCTTGGCCAGTTTCAAGTGTAAATTAATTTATGAGGCACGCCATGGAGCCGGCGCCAGGCTGCGGTCACAGACAACACCCCCTTTCACACTCCATCCATGGAGCCAAATGTCAGGGAGAGTGTGAAATTTCATATTTGAATACTCGCCAAAACGTTGACAAATGAAGTCTGCATAATTGGCTAACATTTGGTCATGGAATTGGAGAGCTTTTACGAATATGAATGCACGCAGGAAAATTATGAGGCATTTCATAGATTAAGTACTAAAAATATTAATAATAAATATTTTTTTAATTATTATACCACGCATCTGATGTAGATTTTTTCATTACATCATGCATAATCCCATTTAGTTTTAGTTTATATATTTCATTTAACTAAATTTAAACTGAAAATAATTTCTCTTAGTGTATTTATGAAAAAACGTGTACAATTTGAGTTGATTTAACTCACCTTTCAGTGTGCCGATGAAAAACAGAGCGGCCAGCAAATTGAGATGGCCAAACATGTTGATTGTTGATTTCTGTCGGATTTATGTTTCGAATGGCTTCCTGCTCCTTCTGATAGCTGCAAGGTAGAAATGTACAAAATATTTAAATATTTTATTTATTACTCTAGACACGCCCATGAGTGAGTCAGTCACTATAAGCAACATAACAGAAGGCAGCAATTTGTTTGCTTGTTTGGCCGGGCATAATAGAGACATTATTTGGGATATGGAGGGTGTGTGGGCTTGGTGTGATAGACCCCACCCAGGGAAACAAGTGCGGAAGAACGCCAGCTGTCACCTGTGATCTGTTACCTGTTACCTGTTACCAGTCACCGGTTCGCTGTCATCATTCGAATGTCATTTTCCTAAGGGGACGGGAGCCACACAAATTGCCGATTGACACGGCACCTGACGCTAATCAAAACTACACATGCACTTTTGGGTGGAAAGCCCTTGGTTCATTTCCCTCACCCTTTAGCCCTTGGCAATTAAGTCTGGTTTTGTGTTTTAGGCCTGCTAAATTTTCATTACTGTGGCCATTGTCTGACCCAGGAACTGAGGGAATTTGAATTCGATTTGGAGCCATGGGTAAACCCACCTTTTTCCCCCTTTCCCCAACGTTTTTCAATCGTTCAATGATTGTCATCGTAGGTGTGACTAATTGTTGGTCATTTATCTTCTTTGCTTTCTTCTCGAATTTGATTTTTTTTTTTGTGTTCCTTGTTCTCTGGCCTCTTTGTTTTTCGGTTTTCCATGGAAGTCATGAATAATTTCCGTTCTAAATGGAAAGGCCGGGCTTTCCCTTTCTCCACGTCTCCTTCTGTCTCCCTAATTGATAGATAATTGAAGGTCTCGGTGGGGAAAGGGGAGAATTGATCAATTGGCTGGATATGAGGCAAGTAAATGATGAATGAAATCCCTCAGATTGAGTGAGATATAAGATGGGGCTGAGCTTGATCATGAATGGTAATTCGTTTGATTGGATGATGTCACCTCGGAATGGGTTGACTAGAGATATTCTGAAAACTGTGACTCACACTTCTTTTAAATTATGAAGATAGAAAATATAATTTGCAAGAATACCATTTCATATAATTAAGTTTTAGTTTAGACAGAAATGTTGAATTCTATTAAAAAATATTTAATTCTTAATCTAAATCTAAACTTCCTTCATTTAAATTGTCATTCAGGGTGCCAAAACTCCATTATAACTCCATATAAATGAATTTAATTGAATAAAGTCATCTTGTTGAAGCTGAAAAATTGATAAATAAATTCAACAAATGATAAATATTTTTGAAATTTAATCAAATTTATGCAGACAGCCTTTAATCTATATCTTCAAATTTTGTTAAAAATTCGTTGCAATGTGTCAGGCCAAAACCTCCTGTGCCACCAAGCAAAATATATAAAATCTCTAACACGAAGTTTTATATATAATATATATTCTCGTATCCCAAATGGGTCACTGAAACTTTTTGATTGACAAATGCAGAAGACATTTATGGTGCGGATAGAATAAAATCAAATAAATTAGAGCCTCGAATGACTGTCAGAAAATGTTCGCATGCAGATGTTAGCGCCTGGGCCATTTCACTAAACTCGACTCCAACTAGACTGTGACTATCCCGACTATAATGTGACTTGCATATCCGTGTATCTTTTGTATCCTTGTATCTGAGCTCCCCTCATCCGTTCACTTTATATCTGTTAGCTGGAACCGTAAACAAGTCAACAAGGACTGACTGCCATGGGCAACAGCCCCGCCCACTTTTTCCAGGTGGATTTCCCAAACCAAGCCGACCCCATTCCCCTTAGACAGGTGCACAAAACGGGGCCCTAACATCGTCACACACGTCTCATTTTCCCTCCGCTTTTAGCTCCTTTTTTTCGGTTGCTGGCAAACTAATTTCAAAGCAAATGCGATACTGTCGCAAGTGACTGAGACGACTCCCCAGCCTGTTGTTGGGTTTCCTCCGGTGGTTCAGGTGGTTCAGCTTGAAAGCGGGGCTCTTATGTCACCCTGTCAGTACCCTCGCTCAGGTTAGTCCTTAGTGACCTCAAGTGTTGGTGGAAATATAGGTTTAGTATTTATTTATGGGGGGCTTGGTGTTAAATTATATGTTTAAATATAAACTTAACAAATTTGTAAAATTATTTCAAATGAGTTAGTATTCAGCTTTCCACTTTTCTATTTTTCCAGTGCATTACAGCCAAAGTCTTATCACAAAAAACAGATCTTTAACCTTGCACCTTTAACCTTTAACACACACATGCTGATTTGTTTTGTCAGCTTAATTTGAATAATTCTGTCGTTAAATGGCGGAAAAGTGTAATCGAATGAACGAGTAGATAGTCGAGCTCAGGGAAATCAAATCCCAGAACTGCACTAACTATTAGTAATTATATTGCACAAAGAAAAGTACAGACAAAAATTAAATTAAAATTTTTGGGCAATGGAAAATTTATTTGAGCAAATGAAAAAACCTAAAATGTATATCTTCCTCCCTTGGCAAAGGGTCATTATGGTAAAAACTCAAAAGAAGACAAATGGAAAAGCCCTACAATTCGGAAAACAATAGAATAATACACGAAAAACTTTCGCTTTTCACAATGTGGTTCATTGGGTATTTGGCCCCTCTTAGAGCCTTGCAAGTGAAATGTGTGAAAATTCTATGGGAAATGAAATGTTGCCGGGGTCTGCACTCTCCTGCCAGTTTGCCCTTGGCTATGGAAAATTGAAAAGTTATCAATTACCTTTCCCTTTTGAGTGATTGACTTTCCCAATGCCCGCCCATTTTTCGAATAAAAGTCTAGCATATGCCAAAAATGTTTTTATTTTTTTCGATTTTCCCCTTGTTCATATCACATTTTGCGAGTTGTTCTTAGCTCAGGTTTCAATTTCATGGCCAGGAGCGTGTGGAGGTAATTGAATTTTGGTTTTTGGCCAAGCAGCAGATCAAGTGGTAATAACTGGTGTAGCAAAAATTCTTAAATTACCAGACGAAAAATACACACATTTTTGAGGTTGATTAAATTTCTAAATATTTTTGGTTTATTTCAGTTCATTTTCAGATAATATATTAGTGGTCGGATATATTGCTGAATAATTTTGTTTAATATTACCTTTTTTGATAGTCATCATTAAATTAGTAATTAATACTCAAACTTCAAAATACCTTATTTTCTCACAGAGGCATAATTATAAACTGCATCGAATCGTTTTCCATTTATAAAATTTCAATACTGAAGCCCAAAATCAAATGCCAATAAAAATTAACCCATAACAGCGCCACTTAAATGGATTCACCCACTGAAGCACTTGACTTGATTGAAGGCAGATTAAATTACCCAAATAAAAACCGACAAAATAACAATGATGGGAAATTAATTAATAAGTCCATACCATAAATAGGCTATTTATATATAGATAGGGAAAAGCGGGAATTCCATTGCGAGGCCGAATAAAGAGGAATGTGTTTTTTTAGAATTTATTACGTTCGTGTGGGAGGGCCACTTTCTGGGTTGCCAAATCGATTTCAAAACTTAATAAACAATCCAGTCTAAGAATTCCCCCTTCGGCAGCATTTGGGAAATCTTTGAAATGAATCCAACATTTATAAACAACAACAAAATAGCTGCAGTTTGTAGGCCTTAATTTGTTTATTTTGTGCTAAAGAGCAACACGCATCGAGTGCCATAAAAAATCAACAGGCAGCATAAAAAGCGAAGTGGCAGGGGCAAAACTTACAGAATTTATAAACTGTGCAAACTCTGGCCGAAAGAGGCAGCCGTAAAAAAGGCAAAAACTGAGCCGAAAGGGAATATTTATGCAAACGTCAATTGGGCTGCAATTGAATTGAGCCACGAGGCATGGCGCATGAGGAATGAAACATGAGGCATGAGGCACGTTCTTTCAGATGCCCCATCGATAAGCGGGATCTTTGGAGAATACTCTATGTTAAAGGGGTTCTTCTGATTGCTTGAATGATTTCATTTTAGTTATTTTTAAATGATTTTCAAATTAAAGTGTTAATTGCTTTAATTTTGCGCCACACTTAAAATGCCATTATTATTTAAAACACATAATTAAGTTAATTATCTGCTCATGTGTATAAAACCTATGCTTTTATTCAAATATATTTAGACTTTATTATTCGTTGGGTGAGAAGCTAGCCCTTCCTACTATGACATTGAATTGCATTTCATTAAAACCAACCAATTAATATCAACAAAAAAATTCTTTATAGTTGGACAATGACAACTTTAATTGCCAACTAATTTCCAAAATCAGAGCATTTCCTATTCGTTCGATCAGTTTTCATTTGTATCTTTTATTAGTAGCCCGCCCAAATTGATATACAAGTCAGACAACGTGACGTATGAGTGATGATGCGTGTGCGCCTCGATTTTCAAGTCCCTGCCTCTTCTCTCCTTCACCACCCACCGTGTAAACATTCGTTCCAATGGAAGGAGCATATGATTGCCATATTTGCCATATAGCGCCAGTTCCGAAAAGTGTTCGATAAATGGGAAATTAGGTTGCAACGACGCCGGCGCCAATTCAAAAACGAAAACTGTAAGAAAAGAGAAACAATTGGAAAAGCGAAAAGAGTTTCCACTGGCTTGTTTATGCCCGTAGCAGCCACTTGAGGCTGTTGGAAAATCCACCTCTTCCCAACTTTTTCACCAATACCTCCCTCTCCACTAATGGCCAGCGTTTGATTGACTGACGAGCGAACGAGTTGAATGATTGCCTGCTGCACATATTGATTTGCATCTAGTGGATCGCCCATTTGCCGTAATTTGCCTTACACAATGCCATAATTTATTTGATTGATATGCCATATATGCGCACAGTGTATATATGTCATCCTTTCGAATATATATGTCTATATATCACATGAATTTTAAAATTATTTGCCTTGGCTTCTCGCCATTTGTTTGCTGCTAATTTGACTGTCAATCAATCGGGGAATGCAGAACTTTTTTTCTGGGCCACATAAATATTTTTCCGTTTGTGTAAATTCGACATATATATATATATATAAATATAAATACACACATTGGCCATTTGTTTGATATAATTCGCTGGCATTTTATGTTTGATTTCAGTTATGATATGTATATACGATGGGATTTAAGAGCAATATCATTCCGACATTAAACAAATTTAATTTTTTTCACCTCTCTTTACATGAAATGGATCACTTTGCTTTAGATATTGTTTAACAATAAAATATTTATTAATATGGTAATTTTTTAGAGAGGCAAACGCTGAAAGTTTATAAGTTAGTGAAATAAATGTGTAATGAATCAATATTAATATGGTAATTTTTTAGAGAGGCAAACGCTGAAAGTTTATAAGTTAGTGAAATAAATGTGTAATGAATCAATGTGTTAAAAGTATATTGTTCGCTATAGACATTATTAATACTTTGCCGCAAACGTTTAGACCAAAAATCAAGGAGAAATGGGTTTTTTAAAGCATCCAATGGGTTTAAATATTAACTTATAAAAAGCATTTTCCTCACTTACTCCATCAAAAGCAACTAAAGAAATATTTACATTAAGTAAATTTCAATCAATTCCGGACCGGCCACTTTATGCATAAATATTTCATTGAATTTTTGAGTTTTATATTTATATTAAATTCCATACGGTAGATCCATTGAGAGTTGAATGCTCAAATTAATTGTCGGTAAGAAATCAGAGACCAGGAGTCATTTCCTAACGAATTTTTTTGGGGGAGAACGACAAACAAAGGTTTTATTTAACTTGGGCCCTGGCCATCTCGATTGGGAATATGCCATAAATTTGCAGAGAAATGGGAAATAAGACCAAGGGAAAATACGATTTTACTGTGAAAAATATATATTTTTGTGTGTCTTCACTTTTTGGCCCGTAACATCGTCGTCATCGTCATCATCATCGTCTTGGCCATCATTTATTCATGACAATTTTTGCTTCTCACAGCTGCAGCCTGGAAAATGTGAAATGAAAATGGAGTCACAACTATGCCGAGTGCTTTGAGGTGAATTTTCCTGCAAATGAAAAACCCACTCATCGATAATGCAGGCGAGAAACCGCTGGAAAATGGGGATAGAGGAAATGTAAAGCAATATTCGGCCCATAAATGAATGAGGAATATACATACTTTTTGGCCACAAATATATCATAAACATTGTTAGAGCTCGGCTTACAGGGCAAAGGTCCCTTCTCCTTTTCGAAGTAAAGAAAAAACAAATTTGCGTATTTTCCATAACTTTAGCTAGCTGACAGGGGGAAGCCCAAAATTCAAACTGTGCAAATGAGTTGGCCACAAAATGTCAGTTACAGACACCTCACCCAACTTTATTTTGCCCCTTTTACGAACCGCAAACGCGTCGAAATTTTAGGGGGAACGACAACAACGGGAAGGAGTTGGCTGAAGTTTTCTCTTCTTTTTTTCCCATTTCGTGCAAATAAAATCAATCAATTTTCGGTTTGCCAAGTGGCAGTAGCAACCAGTGGAAAGCAGCAGCCAAAGCAGCATTCTAAGTGCTCGTCCGACACTGAAATCTATTTGCCAAGGTGATGACAAAAAATGTGGAGCCAGGGGGTAGGAAAATTGGAAAAGTATTAAGGGGACCGTCGACTACTTTTATGCTCTTTGGGTAGATCCATAGATAAGCTGGAGGTGCTTAAATTGTTAGCTAAATAGTTTGGAAACGATTGTCAATGCTCGAAATGTTTGCTTAAAGTTTGGCAGAGTTTTAAGAGCAATAAACATTTTGAAAGAGAAAACACTTTTTTGGTAAATAAACATTTTTTAAAGATTTTCGCCATTTCTCATTTCAACTTTCTCTTAGTAGATAATATATGTTAAGAATCTGTATTTACCAAGCCTAGCTTTTAGATTTTGAGAAGCGTTAATTCGTTACTTTTATCCACAATCCAATTTAGAGCATACAAACTGCACTCAATTCAAACGAGACTCCTTAATAAGTCTTCGATTTCCATGGCAGACGGTACAAACCCACTTTTGAGTTCGGTTCTGTAATTAATAGAATCAACTGGAGGAGGAAACCCTCAAGTGTTGAATGATTTAGCAGGGTGCCTTCCCCAACCCATTCGGAAGACGGCGGGGAATTTTCATTAACAAAAACCGCAATGGGAATGGGAACACAGCATTTTCGAGGCCTGTGTCGATTTCTGTGTAATGCCCGAAAATAAAAATCAATCAACACGTTCGCTTAATAGACTATCGACTCTCTGCTCAGATGTAAATGTATCTGCAAGATACATCTCCAAGTATAAGTATTGCATAAAGACAAATTGCTTTTGTCTCTAATTTTAACACGACTCTGACGGGCTCTTCTTCTCTCCAGACTTTGCTTTAATTTGTTTGCCGTGGGAGTGGAAAAATGTTCACACGGTTAAGGGTTTTCTGTCTACGCTATTTTTTATTTTTCTGTGTTTTGCTTGAGTTCTGTTTGGAATTGATTGGCGCACGTTTTGCGCGTGGCTAAGCAAAAAAAAAAACAAAAAACATAAAAAAAACATAAAATAAATACAAAGAAAAACTTTACCCAATAAGCAAACAACAAACGAGAGTAAAAGTACAAGCGTTTTTTATGGGGCCTTTACGAAAAAGTGCATTTTGAAAAATTTCTCATTTACATTTTTGGGTTTTTCAACGCTCTGCTTTGTCTACTTCGAGGTTCTTCTGCTGGTTTTTCAATCTTTATTGAATGTCTGGTTGGCGTCTCCAACTTTTTGTTTTTATTTTTTGGGAGCATCAGCAGCACTTTGTGGGTGCTTAAAACAGCTGACAGGCCCCACTGACAGATTGATGTATGTTGATTCTCCCTTCTGCCTGCTCCTCTTCTCACTCTCTGGTGAATATTTTCCACACTCTTAATGAAAATATTTCTGTTTGTGCTATTTTCATTTGACTTTGCGGCCTGTTCGAAGATTTATGTCTTTGCCGGGATTTTCGCCCATCTTTAACCTACGTTAATTTTTATTGGGGGGCAGCTAATAGGGCACACACCTCGACGTCTCTTAAATCGTTGACAATTCGACTGCATTTGGGGCAAAATGTTTCTACGTTTTCGTGGGGCTCTTTGGAACATAGTGTTTTACAAATTTTGGATTTGTTTGACTGGCGAAAAGGTCAAATGCGGTGTCTTTAAGGCTTTTGAAAGGAAAATAACATCCACACGAAGAGTGATCAACTTTTGGGGACTAAGCTCTATTTTCCTCGTTCCGTGGGGAACTTGGAGAATATTCGGGTGCTTAGCTGGGAAAGCAACTAGGGGAAATGGGTGGGAAAAGAGGTGTAGTTTCACATGACTGGATAAAGACCCTAATGTCTTTGGGTGTTCGAGGTGTGAGAAGGATTTTGTCATATTTAAGTTTACAATAACAAGTAATAAAAATTAATTAAAATCTTTTTGAGCACATTTTTCAAGAAAATTTAGATCTTTGAATTATTTGAATAATTATATAAACCTTATTTATTTATTTTTAAAACCTATATAACCCTCATTACACTTCAATCAACAATAACTCATTTGATTATCTATATACACAAATCGTTGTTATCAATTAAGAATATGTAAACTAAAGCTTCTTTTGTAAACAAAAATTTTAATCTGAGCTTCCGCTGAGATTAAGACATTTGGACAGATGTATATTTATTCAAACCCATTGGCAGTGGCTTGATATATTCCCACCGAGGACTTTGGCAAATTTTAAACCCATTTCCCCCAAAACCCAAAAGGCAAAACCAAAACTTGCCAACCCATAAACAAATATGCCAAAACCAGAGTAAAACAAAAAATGTGTGGAAAATCTCGCGCGCTTACAGAAAAAAAAACAAAAGAAAAACCCACAAAAAAATGAATCAGTTCCATTTTCTGACCAAAAAAAAAGGAGTGGAAAAAGGATAGCCTCTGGAAGTGGGAGGTAGCTTTTCAGGGCGTAACGCTTACCGCCATTCTGGGTATTCGTGTTTATCTGAGTAAAAAATATTTGTTTATTTACACAAGTGTCCTCTTTTTTTTGCGCTTTTTGTTATGTTTTATATAAATATTTACACTGTCCAAAATTGGAATTGTTTTATTTAATTGGTCTGACCTGCTTACACTTACTTTTTGTGACTTTTTTGGGGGGAATATGATCAGCCTTCCTTCCTAAATAATCAATTTGGTGAAAACACTTTTATCTAGATCACTTTGTTTTGGTTTTATGCTGTTTTACACGCTGTTCATCAGCTGTTTTTGATCATATTTCGTTTGAAATCATTTCGAAAGTGATTTTTCGAACTATCAACTGTTACACTAATCCACTTTTTTGACCACTCATGCACATGTGGCGTTTTTTGGGGGTTTTAATTATGTTTTTTTCTGTTGACCGGTCCACACACTCACGCACACTATCACACACACACAGTTGACACTGAGGGCAAGAGTACCGTTAATCCAAGCGTCCGTGACCTGCGATCCGTTACAATGCTCGCGTCGAAAAAGACTAAACGTATCTTTCAGATACATTCGCTTAGCAGTTTTTTCGTTTCTAGCCGAAATGTCAAACGACCACAAACATGTTGCCCTCGAACATGTTGCAGGAGTTTCGTGTTGCACGTAAGTATCCTGCTGATTGGTTGGCCTCACTTCGTTTTAGTTTCCGGCTGCAAATATAAATCATCGTTTTGAAAATTAAACTAAAAAATAATTATTGGATCTGTAAGAAATGTTTATATTTGGCCCAATATCTAAACTCATCGGTTTAATAGTGCGTTAAGTTCTTACCAATTTTTATTTGTTTTACAATTAATATATGTTACATGTAAAATTATCAAAAATAATGTTATTTTCAAGAACTGTAACCTAAAAAAAATAGATCCTCATATGTTTTAAAAACTGGCTAACCCTCTATTAACCCAATTTTTTAGTAAATTTCGGATGTTAAAGCGAATTGGAAACGAAGCATTCCGAACATTTACGAACTGGCGCCCTCAAGCGTGTTTTCTATGCAACCTTAGTCTTATACGCAGTTAGCAGAGTTCTAACAGCACAAGTTTGATAAAAACTGTTTGAAGAGGAGAAGCGGTTCGAGGTTGCAGCGCATCCAGAACAAGTTCGCTATTTTCTAACAAAAAAAAATGCAAAAAAAAGTGCATAATGCTTCAAAGGCAAATGGACATTTTCGACCAAATCTTGGCAAATGATGGATGGTTAATAAGCTAGCGAAAGGTTGCAACTCCAGTTGATTTTAGTCGATTGGTAATTAGACGACTTAGGAATACGTGTGTGTGGTCGTAGGTCAGGGATAATGAGAGAATTATGATACGATTAAAAATGATGGATCTTTAAGTCGAAGTTGCCAGTACAAATTTATGGATTTTTGAATATTTAAACATTGGAATGAATTAGATTTTACTTGAAAGTAGAATTTATGGGCTTGTTTTATTTATATTTAATTTTACACTCGATGAATCCAGATATAAATGAATATGTCAAATAAAAATATTATATTTTTTATGATATTTACAATACAAACTAATTCTAATTAGAAAATGCTACCAAACGTGCCACGGTTTAAATCATTCAAGCATAAACATGAACATGAAAAATATTTATCCTACAGTTTTATGACCTTTTACTGATAAACAGGTATCTCTCAAGGGTTGTATAGAGATAGACCTTTGTTAGGTAAAGATGCAGATGTTCTTGTTTACCAATCCAGATACAACTCAAAATTTTGAAAATATAAACACACAAACTTAACATGATTTCTTCCATATTCTAACTAAGCAAAATGCTAAACCAAAAATGAAACTACAACACCTTGAGAACAAAATTCCATGGTCACACATCTGAGCATAAACTCAGCCACTTTATGAAGCACCTTGGCATCGTGTGCCCCAAGAACTAAGGCGATTGCCATCATGCCCCCGAATTCCCCATTGAGACAGGCCGCAAGAAAATCTCCTGACCATATCTACTTATAATGTAAATAGCGGCACGCCCATAAAACAATTTGCCCCGGCTTACAAATAACCCAAAGAAAGAGGCAGCAACAAATTTAACACTTAATTGTATTAACAGGCACAAACATACAGAAAAGAAGGGATATATATATATATGTATATAGAGGGCATGGGTAATCCCAGGCAAAAACCAAATCCGGACGCGTGTCCAGTTTGTTGTTGTTTGCTTAGACAGTTTAGGGCCCGCACAAAGGGCCAATACAAAAAGGGGCTATAAGGCCAAGAAAACAACCCGAGAAGGCTGTGATTGGAAGGGGGTTGGAAGATAGGGAGAAGCGCCTTGGTTTGATTGATGATTTTATGACATTGTTTACTCAAGTGATGATGAGAGGAGTAAGCAGATAGCCGGTCGGCCATACCATCCTTTGTGTCCTTTCAAGCCGGTGTCGAGTGAGGGCCGTTCCTTGGACGGCTCCTAATAATTTCCCCCAGCCCAGCTCCCAACGACACTCTCTCCCTTTTTTATGGTTCTTCCCCGGAATGCTATCAATCTTTTGCTTATTAGGGATAATATTACAATTACTTGTAAGTGAGATAAGCCCCAGGGTAGCCCAGAGTCCTTAGTCGGAGTTGGGACTCGGGCTCGCCTTGGGTTAAGTGTTCAAGTGGTCGCTTTGATCTCGGGATGTGTGCTGGTGTGTTGTGTAAATAGATATCAGTTCAAGTGAAGAAGCCAACTGATTGACAAGATGAAGTAGGGAAGAGTCTTCCTGGAGAAGAGTTCTCCCTTTCGAGGAATAAAGAATTCGAGGCGCCTAAGCTGATTGTTCTGACTAAAATATGCCGCCCTTTAGCAGTAATTTGATTTCACAGTGTTTAAATATATTTCATTACCCAAAGTAATTTCATTTTCTATATTGTTTAATCTAACAATTTTAAATAAAATAGAAGTTCTTTTTTCATACACTTTATTAAACTAAAAACTTATTTATTCCTCTATTATTATACTTTTTACTTTTATTATATATAAGAGATAATCGTTTTCAAAATTAATTCCCATTTTGCTACTGATCTCCTTCTCCTTAAACATTTCTGTATCGTCTTCCAACTTAATAAAAAATAAACTCCTAGCACCTTTGTGGACTCCTCTCACCTGTCTCATCCCAGCTCAACCTGTTTCAATTTAGTCATAAACTCTGGCACATATCCCAGTATATAGTATACCTGCAGCCAGAAACACCCGCAGGTTTCTGTTGAGCGCTGTGTTTTGTGTTCCGTCGGTTTGGTCAGGAAGCCAGCTGGTTCCATGGTCACTACACTACACAGCCGCATGTCCTTTATCCTTTTGTCCTGGCCTGGTTTGATGATAAATTAGACAGAAGGACACGGGACGAGGGCGGGGCCGGCAGCATTTGCGGCTCTTTAGTTGGCCTCACCGGCGTTTACCTTTCCTTCGCCTTTCTTCTTCTGGTTCCCTCCATTTTTTATTGCTTTATTATGGTCATCTTCCAGGACCAGAGTCCTGTCTTTTTCCAAGGACCTCTATGGCAGTCGACGTGCGCTTGTGTGTTTGAGCAAAAGTAACGGAGCCGATGAGTGGTTACATCACCCGTTAATGGCTCGGTAATTGGCTACGGAATTTGTTAGACGTTAACTTTCCGACCACTACCTGGATTGGTTTTTTTTTAATTTGCTTAATATTTTTGTTAAATATATTTTAAAGTTTAAATATTTAAAATTTGATCAATTTTACTACATAACTGTCTAATACCGAAAGGGCTTAATAAATAACTAATATGATATATTTCGAATAGAAGCCGGATAAGATGATCCTCATGACACGTGTCCAGGAGCAATAAGCCCATGGGTGTTTTCCCCCATTTGTTCTCGATTTCTCATCAGCTGCTCTCTTCCCCAGCAATAAAAAAAAAATAGATCAACCTTGAACCGCAGAACAATAAAAATTAAAACACGTTTTCGATCCGTGGCAGGACTTTTCCTTTTCGAGAAGGGGATGGATTTGGTATTTGAACACATGTCAAGCTGTCAATGTTTATCTATTTTGGGGGAAGGTGCCTATCACAGCCCCTCTCTCTTCCTATGGCTCTGTCTCTATCTCTATCTCACTTGCAACTCGCCACGTGAAGTGGCAGCCGTGAATTGAGGATTATCGGGCGTCTTGTTGATTTATGGCCAGGCAAACACACACAAAATGTACCAAAATTCGAGTCAAAATGTGATTGAAAACTGATAAGCCACACAGGATTGCCTTTTGGGGGAGTGGCTTCAAGAGGGCGGAGGGTGTTATGTGGGTGCAAAGCGGGAGGCGGGTGGGGGTTTAAGATAGGTGCAAAGGGGTTGCTTTGGGGGTTATTAGTGTAACTGTCAGCTGGGCGAAAGTGTTGAGTGCACGTCCATCAAACTTGGTCTGCTTGGTCAGTGGACTGGGATTCAGATTGGGGATTTCACAGAGAACTGAGAGGCATGGCTATATTCCCTGGAGTTTGTCATGTTTTGTTGAGACTGTACACAGGCGAAAAATAAAGGGATTTAATCTTTAGAGAAAGCTTTTGAGAAGCTTAACTATAAATTGATTAAAATTATCGAAATTAAGTTAGAAAATATTTATTATGCTAAGATAAATCTAAACTGCAATACTGTTAAGTATGGTATTTATCAAAATCTAAGTAAAACTTAGTCAACTGAGCTTGTTTCCAGTGCTCCCAATGTGTAAACAATGCTGATGCCTTAATTTACCACTAATTTGTGCTTATCTCGCCGCATTCCCCTGACAACTTTGTGCCACATGCTACGCCCGACTTGGGCGGCAGTTGGAACTGCAACAGAGGCCTGGGAACGGGGTGTTCATTGGGGAAGCTTCACTTGCAACCGATGCAAATCGCTTTAGCAACGCCCGTTTATGGGAAATTGCGCTCGGGTAAGCAATCTTGAAGCCCAACCAAGCCCCAAGACTGAAACTGGTCATAACTCAAGCATTTATCAAGAATTAGTCCGTTCTAGTGAAGGAATTTGGGTTCTGAGAAGCGAAAGTCTTATGGTGAGCTTGGTTGCAACTACGGCCTACCAGGTGATTAGGAAGCTTATAATAAATGGATTTATAAGAACTTAATTTCTGACAATTAAATTTATCTTGGAAATACCTTGTCATTCCTAAAAAAATATATATATATCACTTTTTTATTTTCTAATTATTTTTTATCAAAAAGTCCGAAATTTATTTTTGGCGTGAATTTCCTTAGCAACTGTATTTAAAATATTTTACTTAGTTTTTTATAATAATAATAATAAAAAAAACCCCATTAATCATATTTTAATCAACAACATTTTGAAAAATATACAAAAATAGGAATTTATTTGATAACGTCTGGGGTGATAACGATGTATATGAGCGATGTAGAAAGTGAGTGTTATTTGAATGCCAGTCTCAGTCTGAGTTTGAAGTGAAAACATGAAGCGGTTCTTGGCGATCGGGGCCCTTCTTTTAGAATGTGCTTTTTTGGGCAATGCCTGCCCATATTACTGTGCCTCCAAGGAGCAGTGCTTACAAGAGGCAACTATTTTCGATTACCATAGTCGTGATTGCCCGGATCAACAAGTTTGTTGTGGTATTCTGAATAATAATGTAAGTTAAAAAAAATTATGCTTGATATAAAAACATTTAATTATTAATAGAATATTTATTCGATTCCGGAAGAAGTAAGTTTATGAAAATGTTTTATGATTAAAAATCAACTATTTCTTTTCGTTGACAGAATCCACAACTACCGCAAGGTCCTTCTAAAAATAAAGAGGAATGTGGCATGAGCAATCCAAATGGCTTGGATTTTCAGTTAATACCTGGCACAGGTGACACAAAGCCTGGCCAATATCCTTGGGTAGTGGCTCTTTTCATCAATGACGATCTCTCTGGAAGCGGATCCCTAATTAGGCGGGATGTTGTCCTTACATCAGCTCATATCGTAGTGTATAAAAATGCAAATGATATGGTGGTTAGAGCTGGCGAATGGGATATGAACACCGAAGCGGAGGACTTTCATTTTGAAGAGAGACAAGTAGAGAGGACAGAAATCCACGAAAAATTTAATTATACTGCTGGTGATAATAACGTGGCTCTACTCTTTCTACAAAAGCCGTACGATTTAGGTGAACATATCAACACTATATGTTTGCCAACGCCACGAACATCATACGCCAATCGTCAATGTATCGTTACCGGTTGGGGAAAGAAACAGTTCTGGAATGTAGGATATTCTGCCGTTCTAAAAAAAGTGGTTTTGCCCATGGTAGACAGAAGCTGGTGTCAAGAACAGTTGAGGAAAACTGCTTTGGGATGGAAATATGAGCTTGCCCAAAGTCTTATTTGTGCCGGAGGAGAGGCTAACCAGGATGCTTGCACAGGAGATGGAGGATCCGCGCTATTTTGCTCTATTGGCGCCGAAAGTTCGAGAATCTACGAGCAGATTGGCATTGTGAACTGGGGAATGGGATGTGGCCAGAAAGATATGCCTGGAACCTACACGAATGTGGCGATGTTTAGGGAGTGGATTGACACTAAGTTAATAGCCTTTTTTTATAAGAAATAATTAACATTTATAATTAGAAAAGGTCTTTAAGTGGAGCTACAAATAAATTTAGTATTTCTCCTTTTAAGATTAAAAATAAATTCTAGGGATACAAACCAGCAAAAGTATTTGCAAACACTTAAAGTTTGTTTGAGCCATAAGTGTCTTTGTTTAGTTTTCTGTGTAAGCCTTTTAATCAACTTTATTAATATTAATAAGCCGGAGAGCTGGCAAAAAGGAGAGGCAAGAAACAATGCAAAAGCATTCGTCAACAATTATACAATTACACTCCAGGCCAAATTGCCCGGAGAGAAGCTGAGAAGCGGAGCGAAGCTCTTAATGGTAATTCACTTAAATAATCATTAGTCAAACAATTTCAGGGGCCAACGGCAGGAACCCTTTCCCCGGCAACCGCAAAAAGTGGAATAATGTGGGGAATAATGTATTCTTTTTGTTCGTCTTGTCCGTTGTGGCTCTTATTTATAGCCCGAAATTCGGCCAGGAATTGTATTTTATGCTCTTGGGGGTTGATTTCTGGTCCAGGAGCTTTGGTTTTGTATTTTGGGTTATGGGCTTGAGTTCTGGTTTGGTTTGAGGCCACTCCAATTGAAATTCAAGTGCTCACTTCATTTCCACTTAATTTCTGACGCAGCGACGCGTTGGACTCAATCAAAATAATAAAAATAAACGGGGTTGTCCTAAAGGGATAACTGACTTCCCTCTTCCTTCAGATGTTTTACTTTTTTTTTAATTTTCATATATTTAGCAATATTATTTATGACTCAAGAAGAAAAATACACTAATCGTCATTCAAAATTACAGCTTTCAGCATTTGTGTGATCCTTTTCATTAACTTATATGACTCTCCCCATGTCAAAATGCATTTGGTGGGTGCAGCTCATATCAAAAAACCAACTTGCAATCATTTCGCCATGAGTAACAAAACACTTTTTCCTCAATTTTCATCGTGCAGCAATTATTCAATTATTTCGAATGGCCATAACCAACCCCAGAAACCACTACAAAAGCTCTTTTGTTCTCATTATCATCAACTTTGGTCTCGAACCGATTCCTGGCAGCCCAGACAAACACTTTTCCTTTCCTTGACTGTGTGCATTCGCTCTGTTCTGCCCACTTACCGGATTCCACTCCCACTGGCACTTTCTCCGCCCCTCTCAAGGACACAAACACACACACATCACATGGGCTGACTAACCACAGGCACGCCCACAGCTGTAACCGCCACCTCCTCGTCCGGTTTTCCAGGGCCAAAGGCACGCGACAGACCAAATGACTCAGCAATTGTAAAGTTCAACAAACCTGGGACTGACCATAAAACTATAAAAAAACAGAAAAAACGAACCGAAATGAAGAATGGTAAAGCAGGAATCTAAATAGTGGCAAACATGCATTGGGAATTGACATTTATGACCCGGCATAAAAACCATATTTGTGCCGACCTAGCCATGTGTTGTGTGGGCCAGCTTGGCTTTCGACTTGGCTTGAATCCTCGTCCTGGTCACGCGTCTTTCTAAATTTTTTCCTCCCTTGGTTTTCTATTTGGACCCTCTGGCAGCCAGCCTTCAATGAAAGTGAAAAATATACCCAAGCATAAATAGGTAATGTAGAAAGATTGATATTCGGTTTTTAGATATCCTAGATAAAAATGAACATAACATTGAAATTTACTCCCAAAATATATAAATTTCATTATTAACATCTAACTTTATCTAACTTCTGCACTCGTATACTAACACTTTTATGATAATTTAACATATTGCTTACCATAGCCAATATACCCTAAAAAACATAGGTATGTTTTACCTCAAAAAACTGCAACACAATTCATATTTAAGCAGGGCCATAACACAATGGAACTGTGCTGAAAAAACCGAAGGCAGACTAACTGCAAAGTGTGTGGGTGAGTTGAAGGCAGGAAGTACATAAGGTGGGTGAGAGCGAGAAGGACAGAGGGATAGATAGAGAGGGGACATGTGACGTGCCGACAGGGTGTGTTATATCGCTATCCCTATCCCCCAATCGCCCCTCTCCCGCATACTGCCTCTTGTTGTCATGGCATTGCAGACTTAATTAATTTCAGCACGCAAAAAGCTGCAACTGCCACTCAAAAGTTATTCATAATAATCCAAATGATTCATGACAATAAAATGCACAAATTGAACCGTAATTTTTTCTCGACTTTTCTCATTGTGGTTTTTATTTGGGGTTAACTGCATAAAAAGTAGCTATATCAAGCTAGCAGGCATTGTTTAATGTTATATACTTTTTTAACAATTCTTTTGGCAGTAAGTAATTTCATTCAGAAAAGTATTTTAAAGAAATATATTTAAATTACTATTTTGTCACTATCACTTCATTAAAATTTCAGTAATTTACAAATATTGAAAGAGGAGTATGTTTTAAATTCAATAGTCTTGTATGCATGCAGAAATCCGTTTATTCGTTTACTTTATTTCTGCACTACAACTCAAAATGCTGTCATCAATATAGCCCAAAGTAAAATGATACTCCACACTATTGCCAGCATTTTCATCCATCATTTCGTATTACACAACATGTGCAAAATTATACAAAAACACCAAAACTGATCCCGTCAGAGGAGGCAGGAAAAATTTACGGTAATTTAGTGCAAAGGCTTGACCAGACCCAAAAATAAAAAAAATAAATAAAAGGTGTTTAACAGCCGACATTTGTTCAGCTTCGGTAGCAACGGCAGCTGCCACTGAAATTAAATCCTCCAATCAATTTAAAACGCAACGAAAATAAGAGAGAAAAAACGTTAAATCCACGAGGGGAACCGGTTCTTATGCAAAGCAGCTTGCATGTGGACTGGTCCCTGTTCGCGGGGATTCCCCTCTTCGAGAGGAAACTCTGTCTCAATGTCTCTCTGTGTGCCCGGTGTGCCAAAGGTGTTCGTGTGTCGACAACGGCAACAATAAAAACCAATCATGGCCAACAACAACGAGCCCAAACAACGAACAACAATTGGCAACGGGCGACGGAATACATTTGTGCACCTGATGATCCGTGGCCAAGACGCGTGCCAAATGCGACAGCAAAGGATTCGAATGCACATCGATGGTTGTCTGCTGAAAAGGGGGCAAACCCATAAACGAGGCACTAAAGAAAGTGGGGGAACATGGTGTTTTACTTTTGGTACATATGTCTGAATGAAATGGAAAGTCAAACCCCTAGCAGCAGGTTTCCCCCTCGTTTTCAGATGGAAGTATATACATATATAAAGGCAATAAAACCAAACCACACCAAACTACTGGCTGATGATTATTGCTTATGGCGTGCTAGAGATTTGAATGCATTTTCAGACTATCACAGAACTTTAACTGCAGTTGATAAGTACTGGGAGTAAAATTCATGAGAACAAGCTTTGACTTTCATGAAAACGCTTTGTTTTATTTCAACTTTAAATTCAACAGATTGCAAGTTAAATTTTAAATGAAATATAGACAAATTTAAGTTAAGATATTTGATAATTATTTGTTAATTTCTTTTCGTAAGTTTGTAATTTTAATAATATGTATTTTTCATTTCAATTCAATTAGTTTCGATTGACAGCTTTTCTGCTTGAATAATTGCCCTGAATGTGTAGAAAAAGTCGTTTTAAATTAAGCGTACATATTGCCTTTGTATACATTTATAATTTTTTTAGATGTAATCAATTAATATACTTCCGTTTTTTAGCTAAACTGCTCCTAATTATATTTTTGTGATGATTTATAAATACATACTAAAATACATACTAATCACCTATTTATTCCACACTAATTGTAAGATAATAAAGCCTTAAAAAATAATTTTCAATTTACAGCAGTTAATTAAGGAGAAAAATGTTTTTATTTTCTCTATGGCAATAACAATATCCGAAATTAATTAATCTGCTTGATTTTCAATTAATTGCGTTCGCTACCTTTTGGGCGGCTGCTCACCTAGCTATTGTTATTATATTAAAATACATTATGTATGCACGGCTAGCAGCGATTTGGAGTGAAAAGTCCGCAACATTAACGAACCATTAACAAGTTGGGGCCAATAAATTTTTATTATGGCCAATTAAAAGCGAATAAAATCGGCAACAAGGCGGTATAAAAAATGAGCACAAATGCCCAACAAATTTCGATTAGTCGAGCGGGGCGAGAACTTTTTGTCCCTAAATGTCTGTCTGTGTGTGTGTTTTTTTGGTTTTGTCCTATGCCAGACCACGCCCACTTACCCCAACCAACGCCCCTTGCGCCCACTCATCAACTCCACTTACACATTTGCGCCGCAAAATGTTGCCACTGTTCGCCGCTGCAGCACGTTGCATTGATTTATTGTGGCTGAATTAGAAGTCAGCAGATAACGAGCCACGAGCGGCCCGTCGGAGGAAGAGGAAGAGGAAGAGAAGCGACGGTCCAGAGCATACAGTGGAGCATCAGACAAGGACGGCACCATCAGCGGACAAGGAGCGATGCCAGACGGAGCAATGCCATTGTTCTAGATACAAAATAGGCGGCAGTTTTGGAACTGGGCACAGTGGGATCATCTGAAAAAATTGTCTACAAAAATTTTATAAATATAAAAATTTAAAAAAAAATTAGTCTTTAAATTAATTAATCTTTAAAATACTCAAAAGTTGAAAAATATCCCTGCTTTTGGATCTAATAATGGATTTGGAAAGAATTCTTCTGTTTTTGCCATGATATCATATAATGTGAGAATAAAAAAATGTGGAAATTAAATAAATAAATTATTTAACTTTTATGTCTCATAGTCTATACCATTTTTATTTTTAATAAATCCAAATATTTGCTTTCTCATTTTTGATTAAAATAAACCTTATCTAGCCCACTGTCCCTGACCCGGGACTCAACTCGCTGGCATCGTTGGCCCGAAGCAACTTAATACGCACGCGTAATCGTATATTTATTTAAATTTATTGCCGCCAGCTAGAAATTTAGCTACCGTAGAGCTCGAACTCTCTCTGTCTTTCTGGAAAATGTGGA